CATTATTTTTATTGCTTTATTTCTCTGTATAACATTGGCCAGTGTTCAGATCAGTCTCTACCCTCTTTATTTATCATTGTATTATTTCTCTGTGTGTACCGCTCTCAGTATAAGTGGGTGGTTGGCGGGTGCTCTGGTGTGGTTTGCTTCTTCTTTCCTATCAAACATCTATCGTCCTTACCTCCCCTTCATCTTTTTTATGTTTGTTACTCTTTTGTAACAGCTCTAATCTTCTGGCGCTCATATTATGACCTTATGCAGTTGCGAGCGCCGAAAAACCCCCCATATGTATACGTCAATGTGGTAAATGTGACCGACTGTTCCCATTTTGATACATCATTATTTTCATTGTTATTTCTCTGTGTACTGTATGCAGTATTCAGGCCAGTCTCGACCTTTATTATTTATCATCGTGTTATTTCTCTATCATGTACGTCTACTATACTCAGTATTCAGATCAGTCTCCACCCTCATTATTATTTTCGTTGTTATATCTCTGTGTGTACCTCGTGCAGTATTCAGATCAGTCTCCGCCTTCATTATTATTTTCATTGTTATTTCTCTGTGTACTGTATGCAGTATTCAGGCCAGTCTCGACCTTTATTATTTATCATTGTTATTTCTCTACCACGTGTAGGCCTACCACACTCAGCATTCATATCAGTCTCCACCCTCATTATTTATCATCGTGTTATTTCTCTGTCTGTACCTCGTGCAGTATTCAGACCAGTCTAGACTTTTTATTTTTAGTTTTATTGTTATTTCTCTATCACCTGTACCACACTCAGTATTTATCATTGTGCTATTTCTCTATCATGTGTACCACACTCAGCATTCTGACCAGTCTCCACCTTCATGATTATTTATCATCCTGTTATTTCTCTATCATGTGTACCCTGTGCAGTATACAGACCAGTCATTGGGGGCTCTCGTGGCCTAGAGGTTAAGGTGTTGGCCTCTCGTTCAAAAGGTCCCGGGTTCGAATCCGGGTAGCGACCGAAAAATTTTCTTCTCTAAAATTGTCTCCTTTCACCTTCTTTCCTGCTCTCTAGCAATGTTCTGTTGTCTACTTTCATTTCCACTTTCTGCCCCCACCCCCTCACCTCCTTTGCCCCCTCCTCTGGGCTCCTGACTCTTTCTGCAGCCTTTCTACTGTTACTCCTTGGCTCCTCCTTACTGCTGTCTTTCTGCCACACCCCTGATCTTCTGGTAGGAAAGATCTACACCTAGCCTTCTCGGACAAGGGCGAGAAATCTCGGAGGGCCCGTGTGCAAGTTGCGCACGTTAAAGATCCCTTGGTGGTCTAAAATCGATAAGAGAAGGCTTCGGCCGCCACCCGGGCAAAATTCAAAATTTCCTACCAACTGAAAATATTAGGTGTGTCCCGCGCGCTCATATGACCTTATGCAGTTGCGAGCGCCGTAAAAACACTTTACTAAAACAAAAAAAACAAAAGACCAGTCATTACTAATCATTATGTTATTTCTCTGTGTGTACTGTATACAGTGTTCAGACCAATCTCGACCCTTGTTGTTTATCATTTCGTATTTCTCTATCTCGTGTACCGTGTGCAATATCATTATATCCAGACCAGTCGTTATTTATCATCGTTTTATTTCTCTATCATGTGTACCGTGTGTAATATTCAGACCAGTCATGTAGGTGGTTGGCGGGTGTTCTGGTGTGGTTTGCTTCTTCTTTCCTATCAAATATCTATCATCTTTATCTCCCCTCCTTCTTTTTGTGTTTTTACCCTCTTGTAACACCTCTAATCTTCGGCACTTATATGACCTTATGCAGTTGCTAGTGCCGTAAAACTTCTACAGAAACAAATAAGACCAGTCGTTATTTCTCTCTCCTACTATGTACCGTGTGCAGTATTCAGGCCAGTCTCCATCCTATGCCGGAACGGATCCGGGCCAATGACCCATACTCCCCCGTCGAGTTCCGCTTGAAGAACCTCTACCCACTCACCATATTCATCTCCCTCGGGATGGCCTTCCTCCTAAGCAGCTTTGTCTACACCCTCATTGTAGAGAGACAGGTTAGTGGGTAGTTGGCGGGTGCTCTGGTGTGGTTTGCTTCTTCTTTTCTAGTATCAAACACCTATCGTCCTCATCTCCCCTCCTTCTTTTTTATGTTTGTTACTCTCTTGTAACTCCTCTAATCCTTCTGGCGCTTATATGACCTTATGCAGTTGCGAGCGCCGTAAAACCTATACTAAAACGAACGGAGACAGGTTGGTTTCCGCTTTTTTTTGGGTGTAAAGTGGGGGGGGGGGGTTGTTTGTTTGCTTGGGTTTTTGTTTGTTTTGTTGGAGTTGTTTTTTTTTGGGGGGGGGTAGGTTTGGGGTTCGTTTTGTTTAGTTAGAAAATAGAGAGGGGTCCATTTCTGTTTGATTTTGTCTACTTTCTTTCAGGTTGTGCTCAAAGAAGTCTGCATTTCGCAGCTCTAGAATTACAAAGTTCTATCTGCTCAGTACCTAGTTTTGAAAAATTTGACGTTTAAAAAAAATTGAGTTTCACCTGTTGAGCTTTTTCGAATGCAGTTCTTTGAATATCTTGATATCGACTCTGAATCATCTTAAGATTGTGATAGAGCAGACAGATTTTCAATTTGGTTTCTGATTTCATGGTCTTAATAACTCAAAATGGCCAAAAATTTCAGATAGAACGTTGTAATTCTAATTAAAGTAGCAATATTTGCCGCGCACTTATAAAAGCATTAAGGAAAAGTACATATGTATTTTTCTGAGACACATTTACTTTTATTTCAATTTTACCTTCATTCGAAACCCCCCCCCCCCCCCCCATAACCCTGTCAGAAATTAAATTAATTTCTCTCCCCACTCCCCCTCCCCCTCCTTCTTAGCGCGGCTGCAAACACCTTCAAGAGGTCAGCGGGGTCAACCCGTTCATGTACTGGCTGGCCACCTTCCTGTGGGATTACATCATCTACCTGGCTGTCGTCATCGGCATCATCGCTATCTTCCTTGGCTTCAACGAGACGGCTTTCATCGGCGAGGAGTCCTTTGGCCCCCTCATCGTGATGTTTCTGCTGTTCGGGTTCGCCGCCTGTTTCTCCAGTTACGTCTTCCAGTTCGTGTTCAAATCTCCACCAACGGGCTTTGTGGTGACTCTCATCCTGTACTTTATCCTCAGTAAGTGTCGTAATATTTCTTATATGTGAGGCATCGTGGTGAAATCAGGCGCTTGTCAAAATAATGGAATCAAAGAAACTGGCATTTTTCCACCGGTTTGGGCATTTTTAAAGAATTTTGTTTTTTGTTTTAACAACTTTTCTGTGCTTTTAAAAACACATTTTAATGTATATTTTGCTGAGGAACATTGATTAAAGGCACAAAGATTGTAAAATTTCTGTTTCCAAGGACTCTCAAGCTATTGAAGTCGCAAAACTTTGGTGGCCATTTTCTCGTTAACTTTACCTCTGAAACCAGGCAAC